CATATACACAATAAATAATGAAAAATAAATGTGGTAGTATTAATAAATGTAGGGGTATTAATAAATGTAGTATTGTTAGTGGACAAATATTTTATCTTGTTTATCAGTTGTATGGTTAAGAGGGAGTAAAGGAAGGTATGTAAGATAAGTGGGCTACCACAACAGCCTATCATAACTCAAGTCATTCTGTTATGATAAGCAAATCCACGCTGCACTGACTAGACTCTACACTTGTCACTCAATGGATTAGACTCTACACTTGTTACTCAATGGAATGCTAAAGAAATAGTTAAACTTCCTTCCCTCAAGAACTTTCCATACATGCAAATATTGTACTATGATATAACTTGTAAATAATTCACGTATTGTGTGTGTGTGTGGGTACATATGTATGTCTGCACTCTTGGAAAGTGCACTAAACAGAAGACTTATAGAACACACTCACTTGTAGATCAAATAGAATAGATCCATAGCCGTTGAGGCCTTCAGCCATGTTGAGGAATTCCTCAATGCAGCTATCAGTTTGTAAGCCTCTACAAGAGGGATAAATATAAAATAAATATTAGACTGATTTCAATATAATTTTAAAAAGCAACTGCAATAATAATAATAATAATAATAATAATAATAATTATTATTATTATTATTAGGCTCAGTTTTCACTTGCATGTACTCATATTGATTATACATGAACATGCTTCCCTCATTTGGTCACACACACATTAATTCTCAATTACTGACAGTAACTGGAGCAATATTTCCTAACTCTCACTCCCACTCCTCTCTCCTCTCCTTACCTTCTCAGTTTATGCTGCTCCACGGCCATTCTCTCATGCTTTGGACTCTATTAAATATAAAGTAGAGAAAGGAAGTATTACAGTATTGTCATTGAGAGATGATATTACCATTTTGACATTCAGTCTAGACATGTAGTCACTCTGAAGTGTCCTTTCAGAATAGTCACCTAGTTGAGCTAGAAAAAATAATTATTATAATATTATTTTTGCATAACGTAATTGACATCAATATTATTGTATTACAAAGGGTAAATTTAGTTAAAACCACATCCACAATAATTGTTATTATATTGACTGGAAATTTGCTTGCAGTAGTTGCTTACCCTGAGCTATAAGGCCTGTAAGCTGAGCTGTGACATCACTTGTACACTTTATTCTACAAATAATAATAATAATAATAATAATAATAAT